GAGAATGCAGAACATGCTCATTGCTGTTTGATTGTTTTCATCACCTGTCATGGTGATAGACATTACAGCACAGTGCTGCCTGGCAGCAGGAGAGAGGATGTGCACCTTCTGCTTGGTTACTTCTTGCTTATCGTTCCTTGGACAGTGTTCATAGTTGAGTTCATAGTTTGCCGTTAGGCCATTGACTCAATTGCAATGTTTAATGGAGCAGACAGTGGTGGTTTCTGACATGGACAATATGGGCAAACAGATTGTGGATTGTGTAACAGGGATGGAAGCAAGGCGCGATGAAAGAAGCGCAATTTGAAGCCACATTTTGCGGGGCTGATGGGTTGGTCCCCATCCTTCGGCTCTGTGTCCCCGGCTCTTCTTCACCTGCAGAGTTCTTTGTCCATCTCAGTCTTGGCTGGAAGCTCCCTGGAGGATCCAACCAAAAGTTCCTCATTTCTATTCACCTTTTATCAGGTTTATCCACCCTACAGACATGTTTGCATTGGCTAGCAGTGCACCATTATTGCACTGTTGTTGTGCGTGTTTCATTGGCTGACTGCTTGGATAGATGATCTCATACATCTTTGTCTTAGAAACATTATGTCTTGATGTCTGTGCTAGTGTCCCAGGGTTGCTCAATGTTCCTCCTACATCCGTTGCCTGCACAATCTTCTTCTTTCAACAGTTTAAGTTGTTGAACAATCTATTTCCAAATAAGTCATTGGTAATCTCTGCTCTACTGTTAGTTCCTAACCTTTCACCTACCGTCTACCTCCAACACAACATCAGTGATCTTTAATTGCAGTTACATATTTCACCATTTCAAGTCCAATGTCAAAATCACATTTATAACTTCTTTAGCTTCTGTGAGTTAGCATTTATTTATGATATTATGATAACCATAACTTATCAGTTATTCTTATTATAATCCTAATGTGAGTTATCACAAGAAAAATCAATTATTCTATTTATTTGATACCAAAGTTACACTTACTTGTTTTACTTGTAAGCATTCCCACAAGTGTAAGTGTAAGTATTCACAAGTAAACCAATATCAATATAAATATTTTACTTTGGGATTTATTCAATTCCTCAAAATGTTTAGATTTCATTCTTTAAAACTTCTCTGCTTTGAAATATGGAATAGTCTGAACTATTTTAAAAATCTGCAAGCTGGAAACTTACTTCCTCTTTTTTCAGGAAACCTGCTGTTCCAGTTTCATGACACTCTCTCTGCCGGACTGTGATTTCTTATGATTAGATAGAAAAAAGAAATAGAATCAACACACAACCTGATTGATTTATAGAAGTTTGGGTCTTGATGTTACTTGTGTGATTAATTTTAAAGGTAACTTTATGTATTGTTATTCTTAAACTACTAACATGATTAAACTAATAACTATAATTTCCAGCATGGGGAAGTGGGATGAACTTGGGTTTTCTTGATAATTGATATTGTATTAATACAAGGGTTTCTTTACTTGGTCTCGGGTTAGGTGCTCTTGTACTCAAAACTTCTGCTCTCTTTCAAATATTCACTGTACTTTCTCAAACCTTTCTCCTCTCTCTTAAAACTTGTCTCTGCTCGAATCAAATCTCTGCTTTCTAGTCTCTCTGCTCACTTGCCAACGATTTTTTACTCACGCTTTGAACAAGAAGGTACTGTCGCCTGGCAAACTCTGACAATAAAATGAAAGTGTTACACTTGGTGCATTTGTTCCTTCCATTGGGTGAGCCTGTGATAACTAAATATCCATCAGTATTGCGCTACTGATCGATCGCTAACAGCCTACTGATCTAAGGCAGGAGTTTCGAGATGAAAAACATAAAATCCTACTTCCAGAATGAAAATGTGTGCTTTCAACTTATGGCAGTAAATTTCCCCCTTATATGAACTTCAACCAATGTGTAATTGAGCTCTTTGGCCATGTGTGGCTCTTTTTTCCTCAGGAAGAGATGGGAAATATAGTCTATAAAACCAGGATAAACAAATCCATATATGAAACTGTGTGTATGTGTATGTGAGAAAGAGAGAAGAGAGTTAAAGAGATTTTGTAACAATTATTATAATACAAATTTGTATATATGACTGTTTGTGTGTGTGTGCATTGTGTGTGTGAGGTCTCTATGAAGTGCTTCCTGGGTTCCCTGTTTTCTATGTTGGGCCTTTCTTTATTTTAATCCTGTAGCCAGATACAGTCATTCTGTATATGAACTTGTACCTGCGAGACATTTCTTGTGTTTGTACAGAAAAATGAGGGTGTTTCATGATGCATGCAGACCCCATATTAGTACCTATACAGCTATATCTAATTTGAAAACTTGTATTATTTGCTTTACTTATGCTCTTATTGATTGATTGATTTTCTAAACGATGAGATTCTGTTAAAGTGATTTGTCCAGATCTTCTTATCTTACAATGTAGTGAAAAGAAATTATTATATGTCCTTAACTATTACTGGCCCTATAATAATAAACTTTAAATTCCTTCTCTATGACTCGTTTCTATGTAAGTGGTAAATGTTTTCATTGCTGTGGGGAAAAAAGTGTATTTTTTCTGCAGTATTGTAAATGTTCAGATCATTTTTCATACAGTTAATCAGCCTGTTTTATCAGGGCTGTTTCTGGGAGAAATACTCAGATCACATGAGGAACATATCCTACTATTTAGTGAGATTTTGTTTCATTAGTTTAGCCTCAGTACCACCCATCTTCATCCTCACACTATGAAATAAATTAGCCAGAAATGACTGGATGGAATATACTCGACAGGCAGAAAAAACAACTTTACTTTTTTTATTCTATTCATTTTGATTTATAGCAAATACCATATCAAAAGAAAAGCTGATCCCATCTGTGATAGTTTATGATTTATGCAAAATAAGCATGAGATTTTAAAGAGGATTTAGTCGTTAAGATAATTATTTTAATTAAATTAATAATCCTTCATTTATTCTCTGATTAGATTTTGCTATTTAGTTTGACCTATTTCATCACAAAATTTTCTAATGAAGTGTTGCCAATTTGGTATAAAACCAGTAAGATTTAAGACCCTCGAAACAGATGTCAGAAAACTAAGATTTTAAAATTGAAATCACTACAAGGACTAGGAACCGGCTGGAACCGGCTGCTGCTGCTGCTTTATTTTTATATTCTAGTGTGTTGGGGTGTACAATCAGGCTGAAAACTATAGTTACAATTATTTCATTCCTTTTTGGAGCCAGATCTTGGTCACAGTTAGTCACAGCAAAGACAATTTTTTATGGTTTGAAAATTTTCAGTTTTTAATAGATTTTTGGATAGACTGAAAGGCAGAAAAGATTTTATCCATAACTTCTCTCTGATATGTGGTCGCTTGCTAAAGGCATTCAGAGGACAAAGTGCTGTAAATTTTGTTTCTTTATTCTTGTGTTAGCAGATGACAGCTGAGTTTTTTAAGCAGTTGATGCAGAAGCTTCATATATTTGTGATGTCATCAATGTCACTATACATTTCAGCAGATGGTCTTTAGACTGATCAGGTCTGGGAGTTACATTTTCAACTAACTTGTGTCAGAGAAGAAGAAAACATTTTATGTCTGATGGTTAGAAAAAGGCAGATATCTCTCTAAAGGCCAGGATGCACCTTTGCCTCATTTTGCTATCCTTCTCTATAAACCAAGATTTTTGAACGTCTGCATCAAATCCTAGCGTTCTTATGATATGACAGAATCAGAAACAACATTATCCAAGAATGAGTTTAGTAGTTAAGTTCTGTTGAAGAACAGGTGCAAGCTGCAGAATAAGTCCTCAACAAATAGGACAGCAGCAGCACCATGTGCACTGAACATCCTATCATGATTCCCCAAAGAGGGCAAGGGCCAATCAGATTAAAGATGATCTGAGAAAGTCTGAGCATCCAGGCCAGTTCTAGAAGTTTATAAATGATGAAAACATGACAGACAACTTGATGAGTGTTGAACATCCAGCAGCATCCTCTACAAAATATTGGTTTTGAGGATGACCTCCACTTCCACTTACCAGCAGGGGACCTAAGAAGAAAGAAAATATGCTACCCAGGTAGCAAAACATGTTAATTCAATGTTGAATTATGATTATGATCAAAAAGGTTGAGTTTTGGTTAAGATTGATCACTGACGATGGATCAACCATCAAGTTCTAGCCAATTACCTAATGTTGAAAAGATGTTATTGAATGAATGTAGATGTGTGATTGAGTTCTAATGTTTTTCAACACTGGTTCCAAGGTATACTGCCCTGCTTCAGCACACATGAGTTTTAACTGATGCAAACATCTGAATGGGATGTGTTGAAGCAGAGGAACATCTAAAACCTGCATGTCAGTGTGTCTTGAGTACCAGGCACCAGTTCTTCATCATTGAGAAAAACTGGTAATCAATACTGATGGAGGTTAATCACGTTTTAAATTAAGCACTATATGTTGAGGACAGTGTGCTTATAAAAGTTACATGGAACAGCTTTAACATTTTTGTAACTTTTTAAAGAGAAGTGCTTCACTTGATATCAGTAACCATGGTGAATAGGTGAATGACTGAAGATAATGAGAAGAGCTTTGAGGTCCTACAAGACACTTCAAGCAGTGGAGCGGTCCACCTACCCGTTTTTACACTGGTGGCATGTCCCAACCACACAGCCACTTTGCTGCTGGCTTGTTTGCAACTGGCTTCTGAATTGTATTCTATTCTGAGTCCTTTTGCAGTAAGTTTGGTGATATTACTTTTATCTTAACTGTGTTTATGGAAAAATAATGTATTTTCCTGTGCCTGCGTTGCAGCTTCATAGGTTAATTTGTGATTATATATGTCAGCTAACATAAAGATAACTAATTCATAAATATTCATTAGCATGTCCTCATTCATTTAGCTGGGAGTGTACAAGTGGAACCATACAGTTTCTGTTTGTTCTCACAACCAGCAAACTATTTAATTATTCAATTTCAAATGTTGTTTATCATCTTTCTAACTGGCGCCTTCCTCACTCTGTTTTCCAGCTGCTGCTCAGCAATTTGACTCAAAGCTGACTGAAAGGAACTGCAGTGAAACTGTCAAGAAGTGGCTTTGTTACACTCCAGAGTGCGAGGAACGCATCAAGGAACCAAAGCGACACCAATCAGAATCAAACATGGGTGACCTCAACATATACTGGTTCATACAGTACAAGTTTTAACTGCATGGACTCTGCTCTTCCATGGGCAACAGATTGTTGTTCTGATAGTCAAAAAGGAGTCAAAAATGTTTACAGATCTGTCTGTTTTCCTAGATATGATGCCATGTTGTCATTTTTGAAAATATGCAAGTCAGACAATTTTGAACAACACAATAACCATCATCTACCAATAAAATTGTGTGTTTAACACCAGTGAAAAATCTTTTGTGATGTTATGATGTAGAACTATCAGACCAAAAAAATGTACATTAATCAATACTGATTCCTTGACTTTGATTCAATATGAAATCAACACAAAAGTGCATGTACATCCACACTTAAATGATGGTTGAATCAATATTGACGTAGTGTCAGTTATGATTGAAACCCAAACGTTGATTCAACATATAAGACACTGACCACTTTCAATATCATTTCAATATCAGGCTTCAACATATATTCAATCTTTCAGCCTAATGTTGTTTCAATTGATTCACTGATATTTTAGTGTCTGAGTTGGTAAAAATTTATTCTGTTGCAATCGGTGGGTTGCTGGTTTGATTCACTCTATATCTGTCTCTGTCATTGTGCCCTTGGGCAAGACACTTCACCCTCCTGCTGCTGGTGATCAGAAGACCTGGTGTCACCTCACCTCTGTCAACTGTGGCTGCTATCAGTGTGGGAATGTGTGTGTGAATGGGTGAATGACTGAATGTAGTGGGAAGAGTTTTGAGGTCCTGTGGACTAGATAAAGTAATATGCTGTCCATTTACAATTTCACCTAAAGTTTATCCATTTACATTTTGAGAACTGGAGAGTTTATAGGTGTTTTGATCTTTTGCCCATTAGGAATTCTAATGTTTCAGAAACAGGATTTTTTGTTTTCAAATGTCTATAACTGCACAAAGAAGAATTAGTTAAGCTAACTTTGCAGTAGGCTATCATGGTCCACATGTGTACTTGCTTGCAATAGAGATGTCTTCTTTGACTCGCTTTGTCCAAAACTCATGCTGAGATGCCAACACTGCGGAAGCTCAACTTTGTGGTGGCAACATGAATCTCCTGCAGAACATGGCAGGATCTTGTTGAACTCTTGGATGTCACCAAGCCTTCAGAAATGAGTTTGCTAATTTGTTTGAATTATCTGAGCTAAACACTGTTTTGTACACATTTGGTATGGATCCCAGTCCTTAAACCTGTGGTTAGTTAGTATTTATCAGTAGCATTCATAATCATAAAATTATCTGATTATTTAGTAATTCCGAAAAAGAAAAAAATCACTACCTTCTTAAAGGTGTTTTCTGCTTCACCAATTGTGAGATCCAAAAAAAGATGTTATCCCACTTTAAACCACAAGGTGGCAGCAGTGCGATGCCACAGTGCTCCAAGTGTTTTTTATCCATTTGAAACTTTTCTCTAATTTGTGCTGTTGGAAATAAAATTGTGGTGAAATAATTGCAATAATTCCCCATACTTGTAAATATTTTATTAATATTAATTATTACTAATAATTTGCTTGAATTAATATTAATTAATAAAAAAATATTTGTGGTACAGGAAATGATTGTATAAATTTGCATTCTCTGTAAAGTTTCTGAGCTCTTCAGTTCAGGTAACTGGTCCCGTTAGTATAATAAATTTTACCTGTTTCCAGATGACATGTGTTAAGTTATTTCTGAATAAAGCCCGTGTGTCTGGGAGGTCCAGTCTGTTGTTACAGACACAACATAAAGCAACTCAAAGACAACTGGCTGAAAGTGAGGCTGCTTCCTATTTGCCATATTTCCTTCATTTTATTGAGAAATGGAAGAAATATGGCACTGGTTGAAATCTGCCAAGAGCTGCCTAAACTCCCAATCTGAGTGAGCTTCAACAATTGTAGGAGTCACAGTTGAAGGAGTCTATCCAGGTTCTTCTCCAGTAGCAGCATTAAGGAAGAGCTCATACATAACCACAACAGGAATTTACCCTGTTTTCAATAAATATCAAACACTACGGGTCAGCAGAGAGGCACCATATACTCAAAAAAGTATGGTGGTGGAAGCATCATGCTGTGTGGAATCCTCACAACAGCAAGTCTAGGAAAGACAGGATAGTGGGCAACATGATGGCAGAGAAATATTGGAGGCCAAAACTGGCTCTTGGAAAGACAGAAATGTCAACATTGAGGAGATTTGAGGATCTTAATGGTTATCTTGTATATTCCTTATGTCACAGTTTTATGGATTTTATTCCTTTTAATATTATGGTGCCTTAAACTCAGTCTGCCAATTTAACTAGAAAGGGAAATTAGCCACCTGGCTATGATTTCATCTATTTATACATACATGCTCATTAATATGTATTCTCCCATTTTTAAATATGAACTTGATAATCTGATTCAATCTGTCAGACATCAATGAGTTGGAAACAGATTCATTTTCCAGCAAGTTAAATGGTAAATGGCTTGTATAGAGCTTTATCAAATGCAGAGGACTCCAAAGCTCGTCACACTACATTTGGCCATTCACACTTTCACGTGTACTGGAAAGCTACAGTTTCCCTGGGGCACGGTTGCTCTGCACTGACACCACCTGTTAGGCCCTCTGTGGGTGAAGTGTCTTACCTAAGGACACAACAACTAAGACAGGTCTCTAATTGGCAGCCATGATTTTAATTTAAGCCAAGATCCAAAGGTGTGCATATATTTTATGCATATCCTAAATAATATTTGAATTTATCTGATACATTTTCAATCTTTCTCCTGAGATATTTTACCTATTTCCTTCTTTCTATGTCTTCTACATATGTATAAATAATGCTTCTGGAAACAGAGCAATAATTGGAAGATGTTTCACCAAAATTCTCTTCTATCCCACAAGTTCAGCAATATGGTTTCCATTCCAAACTCTCCCTCCACTAGTCTAGTTGAGAGGCCCAGTGAACACAAAACAACTTTCTGTCTTTGTCACTATATATTGATCTTCATCTCCTTCCTCTCTCTGTCTTGTGGTAAATAATAACACAGCCTATCTTAATCTTCTTTAATTATCTTTTTATACAACAACTGCCCTGAGGCAAAGGATTGAACTCTTCCGGGCCGTCAGATATTAGCCATCGTTCCAGAAGCTGCAGATTAATGCCAAAATCAATTAGAGACAGAAACTGAGGAGGGATAAATGCTTCCCTGTCCTGCAAGCTCATCCATGGACTTCTGAGGATTAGAACAGACTTCAGCAGTGCTGATTATCTGTAGAAAGGAAAGGGGGTTGAGGGCATGCTTGTTTTTTGACAACAGAATAGTAAAACTGAAACCACCAAGCCCACCTCCACCCCCACCCCACCCCACCTCTAGAAACATGTCACTGCCATTACTGAGAGCTCAATCAGTGAAGTTGAATGCATGCATTGCAAAAATGTTGCAAAAACGATCAATTATGTTATCTGTCAACAGGAAAAATAACATAATTATGAATATTATATTTTTTTCAGTCACCTTCGTGCATTTCTTCAATCATTTTCAACATTTATGTTTGCATTGTTAGAGCAGTTTTCATAAAAATCTGTTTTTATTTCATGTCAAAATTAAAGACACTTGAACTAAAAGCTGAAAAAGAAAACATTTATTGTACAGTTTTCACAATACGACAAGTAATTTACAATCATATCAGACAGGTTTCTAACATATATATTCACCACTGGCATCATAAAACAATAACAGGTTTTAAGGATCATGAACATAAAATTGTTTTAATAGTCACATCATCCTGAACGTTAAAATATCTTAGCTCCATGTAGAAAGTACTTAACTCCACAAAATATTTTTGAAGTAATACTGTCTTGCTCAGAAATAACTAAATTATGTAAATTATTTTACATAAATAAGTAACAGAATTTTTTTAACTTTCCACCAACATTCATAAAATATGAAAATCATATGCTCAGTTTCACTACTGACTTATAACATAAACTATTGGGAATACAGTAAAATAATACAATCTGCATAGCACACAGATCAATTACAAAAGCCAACTTTGGATCTCAAAGTGTATGAGAAAGTGAGTCAGACTATTGGAAGCTGAGTGGGTGGGCTCACCTTCATGAAAGACGTGCAACAGATAAAAAAAAAACAACTGCCTCTAATGAGATAACATCTAAAATGAGATAACATCTAATCTGTAATCTGTAGACCAGACCCAACGCCTTTTGAGTTTATGTACTGCTCATCATACTGCTGTTGAAGAACTTTATAATCTGATTTTGTACTTCAAATACTGCTTGTCATCAGTTTTGTCCACTTCTAACTTCATTGCCATTATAAAAGAGATGCACTGTAACAAAGTGACTAACATAAATACTTTGTTCAGCAGAAATTCATTCAGAAAATTAATTACATTTTAAAGCAATTCTGGAATTGATAAAATTAGAGAGATCTGTTACTCACCAGATAAAACAAGGCAATGCTTAAATAAGAGGCTGGTTGTGAGTGAAGAGGATCTTTACAGACTGAGACGTCCAAAACATATTGCATGGAATTACCATAACTCAAGAAACACACAATTTATGTCATTTTTCCAGGTGGAAAATGTTGAAAACACTATCATTTATTGGGAAAATCTTAGAAATTGTAAAATTCAGAGAGAAACACTGCAAGGCTGCAAGCAGTTGATTGCCCTAAAATTAACAGCAGTAACTGGCCATGATCACAAATGTTGCTTATGTTTGTGTCCACAATGTAAAACCGTGAACCAGACTTTAAACATTATTTTTACAGAAAATAAAATGCTAGTGTGATATTTTTGTTTAATATAATTTTCTTTTTCTTTTTTTAATAATTTTATTTACAATGCCCTTTACATATCCAATTGAAATCTCAAGGACACATTCACACACTGATGATGACAAGCTACTGGATTGTAGACACGGCTTACTGGGGCAGTCTGACCACCAGCAGGTATGCAGGTGAAGAGTCCGGCCTCCACAGACAGAGTGAGACCTGGAACTGAGCCGGCAATCCACCCACTGCAGCGTGAACTCCTTCTGCTGACACCACCATCATTTCTATTATTTTTTTAAATGATGCATTTTGGGTTATATGCAATTTTATGCCAGTCATTCATTTGTCATACATTAAGATAGCTGCATGTTAGGCCCTGCTGCTTGCAATATATTGTAGCAGCCAAAGAGGGAGTAGGCTTAAGGCAATGAAGGGTACTAACCCTAAACCTAACTTAAATATTTTGTAAACTTTAGTTTTTCTCAGTTGCTTTGATGCATTTCTCAGAACAGAATTAAAATTCTCAAAACTACTAATTCAATCTTGAAATTGTTACTTGTGCACATCATAAAAAATGTTCCCTGCTCCTTTGAACAAGCTGCAGACGTTATTTACAATTTTCTGCTTTTTCCTATTTGCTTGTCGTGTTGATGATTCTGCTGAATCGATTCAACCTCCACAACATTTAACCGTACCTTCATCATATAAGTCTTAAAATATAAATTTTTTGAACAAGTTTTTATAAAATCAGTTATATTTTTTTTTTATTTTTATCAGATTTTTTTTCTAAATCTGTCCTGAATTGGTAAATTGTATTATTTGTCTGGTTGCAGAGAGGATTGCGGCAGTCAACAGAAAACAACAGTTTAAGAACTTCTGAATTTTCAGTCAGAAATTATGACACCACTTATTTAAAGTTCTAGTCTCATGAGTGCTGCACCACGTCTGTATGATGCTCTGTTGTAGCAGTTAATTTCACAGTAGCAAACAATGTCAGCTGTCTTTCATTGTATTTTTAAGAAGAGTGTACATATTCAGGCTGTAGAGTATAGCTACAGTGTTGTAGCTATTGTGGTGACTTATTGAGAGAACGTCAGTGTGCGAGTCTACAATGGTAAAACAAACATTTATAACCCTCCTGTTATGTTCGTTTCTAAAATACAGCAATAATGTTCCTGCTCAATTTGACCCAGGGAACGCCTAATCATGCATTAGTGTCAGAAAGCAAAAAAATTCCTCAAACATTTTTGCATCTGATTATTAACTCCATCACTAACTATTTCAATCAATATTTGTGAAATTAGGTTTTTTTATTTCTCACTAATAAAGGATCAATAATGACAACTTAATCATAAACTCATGTATACTGGAAAAAACCTACAAACAAAAAAATCTATAATTTCCTTGAAATTGATCTTTTGTAATTTTTTTAAATTACATTTAAAAAAATTTTCAAGGGTGATCTTAATAATTGAACTTGAGACATGTATGCTGTCTCAAGTTCAGCATACAAATTGACCCACTGATTAAAACCAAGACAAACAAGTCATACAGAGAGTTTTAATGTTTCCCCACTTCTGCTGAGTGTCATTCAGTGTGGGTGAAGTTTATCCACGAGAACAGAAAAGATTCCCGTCAAAAGTTGTATGAACACCTGATTTCTAGCAGTTTCCTAGTGAAGAGAATAGTGAGAAAGTGGGCTTGTGTGTGTGCATGTGTGCATGGATGGTGTGGTGGGTGAGCATGCATGTGTGTGTGTTGGACTTTTTTTTTTTTTTCTTTTTTACCCGTCAACTTGACTGCCGGCTCAAGTTAACCCGAACAGTATCTATATAAAAAGTAGATGCAGGGAGGAGGTAGCAAATGTGTAAAATTAATCACATTTTCAATTTATATGTA